GGGCGTACTGAGCTTGGGCTGTTGGCTGAGGGTGTTTTCCGTCGGGATAAAGCGGTGGGAAAAGCAGTGGAGGTGGTTTAGGCAGGTCGGACAGGGCTGGGAGCAGCTCGGGCTAAGGGAAGATGTCCCTGTTCGTGGAAGGGAGTGGAGTGGGATGAGCTTGAAGGTCCTTCCAACCAAAACCATTCCACTACTCTATTCTCTGATCCTCACTAATAACAACTCAGCTGTCGCTGTCTTTTAGCAGCAGCTTTGCATCCCTCCTGTACATTCCTCTCACCTCTCTCTCCTGCCTGGCAGGTGACACCCTCATAGTGGAAGAAGACACAGCCAAGCCCACGCCTGACTCTCCCGTGGTTGCCAAAAAGACCATGTCCCACTCGCTGAGGGAAGCTGTGCCGGTGCTGGCCAGGAGGGTCGTTCCAGCAGACAATTCCTGCCTGTTCACCAGCGTGTCCTACGTGGTGGAGGGAGGAGTGTACGACCCAGGCTGTGCCCCCGAGATGCGAAACCTCATCGCCCACATAGTAGCGAGCGACCCCGAATCCTACTGCGAGGCAGTGCTGGGCAAAACCAACAGGGAATACTGTGACTGGATCAGGAGAGAGGAGACTTGGGGAGGAGCCATCGAAGTGTCTATCCTGTCCAAGTTCTACCAGTGTGAGATCTGCGTGGTGGACACGCAGACCGTGCGCATCGATCGCTTCGGCGAAGACGCCGGATACACCAAGCGCGTCCTGCTGATCTACGATGGGATCCACTACGACCCTCTGGAGCGCAGGATCCCGGACTCAGACATTCCCCCCCAGACCATTTTCCCCACGACGGATGATGTCGTGCTGGCACAGGCTCTGGAGCTGGCGGATGAGGCCAGGAGGAAGAGGCAGTTCACGGATGTGAATCACTTCACGTTGAGGTGTATGGTGTGCCAGAAGGGACTGACCGGGCAGCTGGAAGCTAGGGAACATGCCAAGGAGACTGGACACACCAACTTTGGGGAGGTGTGACAGCAGCACGTGGGTGGTGACATCGACTACCTCACCGGTCCGGGATCAAATCCTGGATTTCCTGATAAGCTGTTTGTAACCATAAGATTCCGTTCACGAAGCTTGAAAAGCAAATGAACTGACTTTATGATGGCCAATGTTGAGGTTTGGGAATAGGGGATGGGAAATAGGGATCTCCTCACATGCTGAGTGGGCAGGTGGTAGACACAGGCAGCTATGCCTTGATTTGTCCAGAACCTTCTCTGTGTCTGCTCAGATCACCCACAAAATCAGGTGTGTTCCACACTGGCTTGAAATGCAGTGTCTGAGCTGCTGGGTGAATCTCCCTGGATGTTTTCCAGGTAATAATAATAATTTCCCAAGGGTTTGGGAAACACATATCAGCATTACTTACACTAGGAATTAGGCTCTGCATGTACAAGCAGCTCTCAGAGGGGAAACTGCTTGTTTGGTGCATGGTTTGTTGTGGAAATATCAAATACAATATCAAAATTCAACTTGTAATGGAAATAGCTATAATGGAAAGAGCATCCCAGAACTGCCCTGTGTTCCAGTCAGGTATAAACTGTCTAGTTTGTGTGGAGAGAACTTTAGGGAAAAGAAATGGCCTCTAAGCTTTAAGGTAGCCTTTAAATTAATGAGTAGTTGGGTAAGTGTTGACTAAAACTTATTAATCCTCCATAGGTAGTTTTTAGTTGCTTGAAGAATAACTCTCAACCCCCCCCCAGTGTTTACACTGCATCAGAGCACAGGCATGTTTCCTGGAATACTTGGGATTCTTCCCAGTAGTATTGGAATTCCAGGCAAGAGGGAAATAAGCAGTTAGGGAAGTGACTTAATTTGCAGCTGTTTCATACACTTAATCAAACTTTACTTGAGTTAGAGCCAATCCCACAGCCACAGTGTTCCTAAGCTGTTCCAGATTCCAGATACTGTAAATGAGCACTTTAAGGTTGAGTTCTCACTGGCAAAAAGTTTTGTCCTTTCTTTTAGGCTGACCCAGAAGGGAGTTTTGAAGTTTTCTTCATCTGCTTTCTGCCTTAATGTGTTTGATTTGTCACCAGTGACTGTGGAGTAGCAACACTTTAATCCTGATACCGAAGGGTGCGTTGGGTTTTCAGGCCAGGATAAGCTGTGTGTGTACTGCTCACAACCAGGGAGGATGGAATTGTTTTCATTTGATGTCTTACCTCACAGTGGGATTGTGAGGCTTAGCAGCAAGTGCTTTTGAGGTCTTTTAAAAGGTGCTGTAAAGGTGCATATTACTGAAGGGGATTTTTTTTTTCCTTTGAAATGCCTGTGACACTTATTTCTTGAATTTTAAACTCTTCTTTGCCTGTCATTCTTCTGTTACTGTTTTGAGTGACCTTCCTTGCACTTTTCAACTGGGGAGCAAGAACTTATATCTTGGGACTGGGGCAGAAATAAACTCACTTGCCATGTGAACCTAAGATTCAGTTTTAAATGGCTAAATTCCTGTTGCAGCAAAAACTTTTTTTTTGGTCCCTCTCCAAAAATTATCTTTCACTGAAGCTCTCAGCAGAGGCTCCCAGTTGGATCTTGAAATACAGGAAGGTCTTCTTGAAGAAGGAAGATAATTACATAAGTGCTTTGCTGAATTAAGGCATGAATAATTAAATACAAAGCCTAGACTCACCAAAAGCTCTATGGACCAGGTTACTTTTTAGCTCAGTATTAAAATACCCATTAGCACAGTTGGGAGTTTCCTATAGAAAGCCACTTAGCTTCCAGTGTTAAACCCTATTCTGCTTTTAGCCTGTCATTAGGAAAAGAAAAAAAAAAACCTCAAACAAAAAACACCCCAAAACCCAATATTAAAACCAGCCCTCGAGAAGCTGATGCTTAAAAACCTAAAAGAATACCTGACAGTCCAAAGGAACTTGAAGATTACACTGTGTTATCACTACTTGAGATGAAATACTGTCTAGGAGTGAGACCAAGAGACTGTCAGCCCCAAGGTGTGTTCTCAGCCTGCACAGGGAAGCAGTGAGATGCCTTGGACAAGGAGCTGATCCTCACCCTTTGCCATCTGTAACATGGACATAATACCTACCTCAGAGAGGTGCACGAGGTGTCTTTGGGTGTCTGAAACACAAGTGGGAGATACATATTTATTGTCTGCCATGTCTGCAAACATGCACTGACTTTGGGGAGCAACGCTTAGATTTTTAGCTTTGTGTCCTGGATGGATTTCTCAAAGTGTGTAAAACATACTTTGTTTTAGTATTTCTCAGTTGCAGTATTTTAAAAGTTAGGTTTATTTAATTCAGAGTGTTTAGCTTTGCTAGGTCATGTTTGCATTGGAAATCTGCTAACAGGGAGTCAGTTCTGTTTGAGGGAGATGTGTCACTATCACTGCTTGGATGTTTCTTTTGTTGCCTAGAAAATAAAATCTCTTTGGTTAAAAAAATATCAACTGTGAACTGCTGTCATTCATGGCTGAAAGATACTGCTACACATCATCCTGTGGGTGTAAGACCCCACCTAGAACACCAAACACAGGTCTGGTGTCCTTCACAGGACAAGGAACTGTTGGAGCAGGTCCAGAGAAGGCCACAAAGTTGCTCAGGAGACTGAAGCACCTTCCCTATGTGCTGAGAGAAGGTTGTGGGGAGACCTCAGAGCAACCTTCCAGTCTCTGAGCTACAAGAAATCCAGAGAGGGAATATGCATCAAAATGTTCCAAGCCAGGTTGGATGGGGCTTGGAGCAACCTTGGCTAGTGGAAAGTGTCCCTGCCCATGGTAGGGGTTGGGATGAGATGAGCTTTAAGGTCCTTCCAACCCAAACCATTCTGGGATTCTATGTGAAGAGAGTTTTACATTCCTCCAAAATCAGTACTATTCTGACTTTCTGAAGGACAAACCTGATTTCCTTAGTTCTGGATAAACTTACATAAAAAGATCAGTTTCTGAGGAGAGCACTGAGCAAAGGAACATCTTGTACAGGGCACAGAATCAGCATCTTAAATCAGCACCTTTCCCTGTGCACAGTCACAGCAGAGGCCACTTGTGACAGTTTGGGGACAGCCCACTGTGCCCATCCCACTTTCAGTCGAGGCTGTTAGAGAACATCCCAGCACTGCAGTCAAGACCAGTCCTGGGGTGACAGACCCACTGTGAAACTAAGAAGGAACACAGTGTTCATTTTTCAGCCTCTCTGACCCAAGCAGTGTTATCTATTTGCCCTTCTCAACTTCAGAGGAAGCAGGAGAAGGGACAGGGATGAATGAAGCAAAAGCAGAATTTCTCTTAAACAGAAACCACCAACTGGGTGAAATCAATATTGCCTTTCAGCCCTTCTGAGTATGAACACCAGGATGCTGAGTAACAAGGATGCAATAGGGGAATTAATACAATTAAGTTGTCTAAGATTGCAGAGTCCTTGACTACTATTTGAAATTAAAGCCTTGAGGAAAATGTTGGGGAAGTGTATTACACCTTGAGAGAACTGTATTATACCTTGAGAGCTGCCTTCTCATTTCTGGGGTTGAATTAATGCTGACCAAGCCATGAAAACACATCACCTCACTTCTCCACCTCTTTTCTCTAACATACAGGTAATAAATAGTATTCCTTGCTCAGTTCATGGCCATATTAAGCTTTAATGACTAGTGCAAACTTCTGTGGAATAGTAGGCATTAACTCCCTGGTGTTTTCCATAAGTGGTTTGTCAGCACACAGACTCTACCTGCAATTTGGTTTGAGGAAAGTGTCCAACAGTCCCAACAGAGGCAAAGAAAGGTCATTACATTGACAGAAATCTTATCAGTGACGTGTGGATGAGTTTCCTCCAGGGCCAGATCTGAATCACTCCTGCTCTGTGTTTATGAACAGGGTGAGGCCCAGTGGGTTTGTGAACATGCCAAAGTCCTTTCTGGGCATTGTGAAGTTTTCTCTGCATCATTTGACTCTTTGCATATTCTCCATGCCATATATATGAAATCACACCTTATTTTTGGGCAGGAGCTATTTATATTCAGTGGAGGAAGAGGAATGTGACAAATGAACAGGTTCTTTCTGGGCATCTGATTCAGAGAAGCTCAAAATTTCTCTTAATGGATCATGACACTCTCCTGACCCACACAGGGCGCTGCAGGCAGCAAACTCTGCCTGGTTTATTCCACTCATTCCAGTCCTTGTGCTGTCAGGACACCCTTGCCCTGTCCTGTTGCTTGCTCACACACTGTTTGCAACACAACAACCCAATCCCTCTGGGTTTGCTTTGCTCCCTCTCAGCCCTGAGCTCACCTCCACCAAGCCGACGCCACTCTACAACTTACATTAAAAACTCAAATTCACACATCAATTCAAAGTTTAAACCAATTCATTTCAACACTTCAACTCAGTTTAAATCCAGCACAACACTCCCAGAAGCCCTCACACCAATCCTGCCCTCAGCACCAAAATCCTTAGCTGTTGCCAGGCTCTGGCAGTGCCTGCTGCTCCCAGCTCACCACGTCTGCATCCCTTAGCTGTGCTGCAGCAGAGTGGGTGAGCAGGAAGGGCAGGGGCAGGCTGGGGCTGCCAGCACCCTCTGGCTTGTTGCTTTGCTCTCCAGCACACTATCCCTTTCGTAAGAGCAGACAGCTGGGGCTCAGCAGTGCTGGTGGCAACCTCAGCCCTTCCTGCCTCCTCTGCTTTTCTCTCCATCTCAGCGTGGCTTTAATTAGCTGGTGTTTCCACTTCCCTGTTCTGTGCAGCAGGGAACGTGTGTTGCAACGCAGCCTTTTGCTAAAGATGCAGATTGGAGAAACCATTGGAGCATGGGGATGTGAATGAATCCAAGGGCTGTGTGAGTTCTGGAAATTTACTGCAGGGTTTCTGCTTGGGTGTCTAGTTATTCAGTGAGCAGCACCTTGATGAGCAGGTATAAATCTGTGCTGGGTGGGGGTGAGGGTGGGAATAATGGTCAAAGTGTTGTTTATCGGTGAGAAAAGCTTTAATTTTAATAAGAGAGCCCAATGAGCCACTGCCATTCAGCTGCCCCTGCAGAACCATCTGAGGATGGGGATCAGCATCACCTGCACAAGGTGCTGCAGATGGGATTACTGCTCTCTCTCTCTCCTTTCCCTTCCCCTCTGAGGCAGCAGAGGTGAGGTGATACCTCTGTCCTTGGGATGCTGCTGAAGGAAATGCCCTGGCAGCAGTTTCTGAGGTGTCAGTGTGAGTGAGGAGTGGGGCTGAGGTGAACAGGAGTGTGATGGGTGTCTTGGGGGGGCTTGAGCTTTACCCAGGCTTTAGGAATTGACCTCAAGCTGCCTAGTGAAATAGTTTCCACCATTGGAGAGCCAGGGGATTAACCCACAAAGGGGCACAATGCCTGCAGGGAAAGATTCCAGGAGGGGCAAAGGGAACAGCAAGTCAGTACAGGGAGAATGAGCCCAGGAGCTGTGCAGACCTGGGCACCTTGTCCTCTAGCACATAAATAAAGCTTAGTGGTGAAACTTCCCTTCCCAAACTCTGTCTACCTGTCTCTACAATCTCCTTCCAGCACACAGCAGCAAACTTTTGGCCTCTGGGAAGCTTTGGTGCTAGGCAAGTACCTACCTGTACGAGCACAACCTGTGTTTTTAGAGCCAAGAAGGAACAGGCTCTTACCCTGAGCTGTGGGACCTCCTGCTCAAACCACCTGAGAGAAGAAACCTGTTGTGGGCTGAGCGTCGCAGGGCACAGAACGCCCAGGCAGGGACGTAATTACTGTGTACAAAGGCTGTGTCAGGGCTGCAGTTTGGCTGCTCTGAGTGTCAGCCAGCAGCTATGCGGCAGAACAGGATGGATTAAGGAGTCTCCGATGAAAACCTCGTGCCCAGGACAGCAGAGGACAGCAGGGAAGTGATTGAGCTGGGTGGTACCAGGCAGAGCTGCCCGCAGCCTCCCCGGGCACAGGGTGCTGCTGGCTCAGACTCACAGCATGAAGGTGTTGTAGGGGCTCAGGATCTCTGCCTGGAGCAGAAGGAAACTGCTTAGCCTGGCTACAAGATGAATTTCTCTCCCTCCAGTGCAGCTGGCTGCAGGTGAGGAGCTGCTGAGCACCCACCTGCCCAGCACCCGCTCACCTTATCTGAGTTAATGTGTAACTCAGCTCTGTTTGGTTAGCCCAGAAAAGCAAAGAAGTCCTGGGATAGGCACGGACGAGACAAGGAATTGGGCAGCACGGCACGACAGACATCCTGGTAAAAAAAGAGAGAAGGAATTCATCCTCTATATTCCTTCTTTGCTTTCTTTTCCTGCTGCTTGGGGCTGAGTGTGTCTGCCTGAGTGGGGTGGGGGCTGTGGGGAGCTGCAGGGCATGGATGAGCTTTGCTTTGGAGGTGAAATGTGGTGCAGGTGTCAGCAGCAATGCTGGACGAGGTGGTTTGAAGGTGGTGGTGGGAACAAAGCTGGGAGACCCACAGCTGCTGCTGGAGGAGTTGGGTAAACTTATGCTCAGGACAGCAAACAGCACAGGCAGCTGCTGTGTGCTTGATTTACTGCTTTAAATAAGAGGAACTATAGATCTGCCACTATCTCCTTTCAGCCTGAGCTGGGATCCATCCTGCTGTGCTGCTCAGAGCAGCTGGAACAGTGTCTGCCAAAGGAGGTTTTGCTTTGGTTTGTGTTTTGAGTGGCCAGGACAAAGCTCTTGGCTGGCACATGGAAGGCAGGAGAGCTACAGCTGCTCTGCCTCAGACAGCAAAACCCACTGAGATCCTTTACCACTGCTGGGGAGTTGGGAATAAGAGCTTGGAGTGGTGCTGACTGAAAGAAAGTAGCCTCTTCGTATAAAGCAATTAGCATTAATTGCTACCCAGCACATCTTTGATGTTTGAGGGCTCTAAGAGCTTTGTAAAGGACAGTTATGACATGGCCACAAAAGCTAAGGGAACTGGTCTTTTGTTTTCATTAAAAAATAGCTTCTTCCCTATGCATTTCTAGTAGGGGAAGAGATACACACCATTGCAAAGCAGCTTTAAAACAGCTTTTCAAGTACTTATGTTGGGGTTGTGTTATTAGCTGTGGCTGTTATTCAGCGAACAGCAGGAACTGTAAAATCCTTCTGAGTCATAAAAACTGGGGGTTTTCAACACTGATTTTTTTTCCCTTACCCAAGTAGGGTGAATGTGTTGGAGCCATAATCACAGCAGAGAACTGGTGGGCAAGAAAATAAACTTCTTGTTTCAACCCAGGGCTGAACTTTGCCTCCCTGTGAGCTGGGACTAGGTGGGTGCCAAAGCTTTGGCAGCTGCTTTAGGTGTCTATAAACTCTGTCTGAAGGAGAAAAAATGATTTCTTGAACGGAGTGATGATGGTGGGAATCCTCAGGGGGAAAGTGCTTGCCTTGCACAGCAGATTGCTGGCTCAGAGCAGCTGCAAGCTCATGTTCAAGCAAGACTTTCACTTCCCCAGAAGTGTTTTGCTCTCTCACATTTGGGAGGGAGGCAGTGAAGAGCATTGCAGCAATCCCTGTTGAGCCTCTTGCTCCTTAAAAGATGATCTAAATCTATGTATCTCTACATCTCATTTTGATCTAGATCTAAATTTCACATTGTGGATGTTCAAGTGCAAAGCAAAACGGTGCAGAGGCAAAAAAATCCCCCAAATTCACCTCTGTGTCTCTGCCAACTGACAGCTCAAAAGCCCTGGCTAGAGTGATCTGAATTCAAAGAATCCAGGGAATTGCTGTTCCAAAGCCAGCACTTACTGCAACGTCACTTAAGCAGTAAATAATGCAAAGCTGAGACTGAAATATTAAACTCCTCCTGCGTGGAAGGATTAGATCTGTCAGGGTGTGGGTGTTGAAATCTGATTTTTGCGGCATATTCCAATTACAAAGGAATTCTTTCAGGGTCTAACGCTCTGAACAAGCAGCCAGTTCTGCTCACTTATCGCTGGATCTAATTCCCTGATCCTGCTACAAGAAAAAAAAAGCAGCAGTGTGTTCCTTGTGTGCTGTGGCCAGGTTAGAGCACAAAGAGCTCCTCTGTCTCCCAACCAGCAAATCCTCCCGCGTGGGTCCGTGTGTGTTCGAGGGGGTGTTTGTTTTGCTGCTCCCATTTGCCTCCTCAGCCCAGCTCTCTCCTGAGGAACAGGTGGTGCCTGGGAAGAAAACTAATTGGTGGTGTCAGGGAATTTTGGAAGCCTAATGCTTTACAGCCATAGGTAACTGCAGGTGCTCAGCCTCTCCCCGCGGGCAGCAGAGCTCTCTGCAGGTATAACTGTCCCCTCTGCGACCTGGGACCCTCCCCCAGGGTGGTCTTGGTGTTGGGAATCCTAATTCAGGGTGGTTTTCAGGCAGCTGCTGCCACACTGGGATCTCACTGGTGCTGGGGTATATCCAGAACAGCAGCAAAGTGGCATTGGGGTGCAGCCTGGGGACAGCCCCAGTGTGCTCTGCTCCCCTCCAGCTGTGCCCAAACACACCCAGGCATGGCCTGAAGGTATGGAGGCACCTCCCTGAGGGCACCTCCCCTTGTTCCCCAAGTAAGGGTGGCAGAGGAAGCTCCATGCCAGTAGGAAGCTCCTGGCAGAGGAAGGCTATGACTAAACAGCAGCGTTTCGGGTCAGCGCATTGAGAAGTTGGAGCTGCAGGGCAGGCAGAGGGTGTGGTGGAGGGAAGAGGTCCCTAGAGTCAGGGCTGGGGCTTGTGTTGGGATGGGATGGCTGCTGCCTTGCTCTGAGGCTGAGCTGAGCTTGCAGCTTTCTCCTTTTCCTCATCCACACCCCTGAGATGATTAGAGACCAAGCAACATGAGCTGACTGTGGATGGGCAATCCAGAGCTCACCCTACTTCCAGTTCTTCTGGGGAAAACTTCAAGGATGCTTTAAAATCCCAGCTGTGCCTTCTCTTGGAGAGAACACCCTACAATGGATCACGCTTGGATCCATCCAGCAGCTTCAGAGCTCTCCTGCCCTCCCTCCAGAGCTGACTCAGCCTGTTTGCGTCACGCTGGGGGGAATCTCACAGCCTAATGCTTCTCCTCTCTCTTGCACCAGCTGGGACATCACCCCCCGTGCCCGACACCCTGGCAGCCCGTGATATGCCTAGGAAGGAGCTGGGCATGGCTGGCTGCAACTCTGGCAGCTGTGACAGCATGATCAGCACAGCCTCCAACCACTCACAGCGGGTAAGTAACCCTGGGGTTACTCAGCTCACTCCTCAAGCTCCAAACTGCTCTTCATCAGTGCTTTGGAAGTAGCTGGTGGGCCTGAGACAGCACCAAGCTGAGGGCAGCACAAGGACCAAATTAATTCCTGGCCCAAAGCACTCCCAGACTTCCCATCCTGCCACATATGTGGCAGTAATCAGGAGCCTTTGCTCCTGCAAGTTCTCCTCTGGGACAAACACCCAGAGCTCAGTGGGTCTGTGCTGCCCAAAGATGCAGGTAGAGCAGGCACTGGGCAGGAGGAGCCTGGCCATGCCCCAGTGAGGGATTAGATGGATATCCCAGTTGGATAACTGGGTCAGACTGGCTCCAAGGAGAGTGACTTCACCTGGAAGAGACAGCGAGCTGTGCTCCTCCCAGCTGACAAGAGATTAATTTCCCAGTTAAGAAAGGGATGAGTTTGGACCATGGGTGTAGATGTGTAATTTTTCACTATCTGTCCATTAAAGCTTGTTTGTCTCCCAACACTGATTCCAAGATTGATGGACTAATTACATCCTGTCTGACTTGGAGCATAATTGATACGTGTAAGTGCAACACTCAGTCCTGACAGGTTTTCCATTTGATGGATTGCAAACCAGAACCAAACCCTCAGAATTTAATAGGGATGGAAGAACTGGTTGTGATAGTGCACGGTAAAAGGTTTGGATAGGTGTCCCTGCAAAACAACTCCACCTGGGATAATTCCTCCTCTGTGCTTGTGGATCCATCCTGCCCTGCACTGCAGTTCTTCTGTGATAAATGGCATGAATCACCTTGTAACTTGGTACTTCCACAGCAATATCTATCAGGACATTGAACAGGAAAACACCTCTCTCCTACCTGTACTGCTTTATTTTCTTTTTCCAGAGTGATCACAGCTTT